TCACCCGGACTGGATGTTCGAGTAGCTGTTGTTTAAAAACAATGAATGCACATCCATTATGCCCATCAACTTCCTGATGATTTCAGCCTGCCTGGTGGGTTGTGACAGACTGAAGCAGAAAAGAAACAAGTTTTCGGGTTCCTGGGTGGTGAGCCCCTTTGATGCTTGCAGAGGCCCCCGATGCTGTGCAGCGCCCACAGACAGCCGCGCTCCAGAGACAAGACACGCTGCATCTCAGCTCTGGGCGCTGACAGCGAACCACTTAGAGTGAGCACTCCATCAAAGAGTGTGGACCATCTCAAGCACCAGCATTAAAAACACAAAGAAGCCTGCATCTTGATAAGAGGACACAGCTGAGAAGAGGAATGTACAGAAAGAAAGAAAACGACCTAGAGTCTGTGAAATGTTACAAGTCTCAAAATTGTAAAAATGCCTGCCATGAAAAGAGAAGGCACAGCTCCACTAAGAGTTTCAGAAATGAAAGGGAGGAAGTTGCTCGCTGCAATGGAGGCTCCGCATGCACTGAGCTGTGCTTGAGATCACATTGTTTTCAGGACTGAGCATTTCCTTCCCTGAGCAGGCCTGTGATTTGAAGCATTTCAAGCTAGCGGTGCCTCCTTGCCAAGAAATGCAAGATCTTCTGAAATACAAACATTTTTTGATGAAGAAAACAAAACGGATTAGTGGCAATAGTCAGGACAAAACTTGCTTTTGCAAGAAGCAAATGAACAATTTGGAGGAGATTCCAGGTCTGGGAACCAGAATTCTTCCAGTTGCTTCCTTGTTGCACCCCAAGATTCAGGAGGACAGGACCTCGACCTATGTTTCTCTTCATCTAGCTGTAGATTCATATCTTTTAATATCCCCTGTAATAGATTGGTGGTCTAGTTAAAAAAAAAAAAATATTGGAAAGGAGACTAAGTAGAAACATAAATAATAAATTTGCTATGCTGGAAATTAAGTTCTCAGCAAGGCGTGCCACATAATAATGTTGATCCATGGGGAGTGAAGACTGGGTCTCCTAGAGAGAAGACTACATCTTCTGGAAGTGTTTGTATTTTCATAATAACTCCCCAATTTCTTCTGTTTTATTTTCCTCTTCCCTAACCTCCATTAAAATCGCCTGCAATTTAGGATTGCAACATTGTGTGAAATGTAGTTGGCATTCTGTTATCCGTATAAAATCAAAGTCCTGCTACCTACTACTGCTCCACCAGACATCCAGAGGTCACTAATTCAATGTGATAACTGGATTATATATCAGTTTATATACCCAGGCAGTTTTCCCAATAATCCCAGTTTACCATGAGCCCCAAGGCTCTGGGGCAAGCAGCCAGGATCCAAAACCGTATTGACAAAAGTTGACTTGCTGCTGTTTGCCAAAACATAGGTGGGGGCCTCCCCGGTGGCACAGCGGTAGAGCGCTGGAGCGCTGGGTTGCGAAGCTGCCCGCGACCTCTGCGGTGCCGGTTCAGTCCCCAGCTGCTCCCCGGCATGGCACGCAGACCTCTCCTGCCACCCGCTGCTCCCCTCAACAGTGTACTTCGGTCCTTCTGCCTGCTCTGCTCCCCGCTCTGGCTCTGGTGAATTCTCTCACCCTCCCACACTTCTGACTGTACCCAGTGCTTGTATAAACAAACAAATAAATAAATAAAACATGCCTCTATTAAAAAAAAAATCTCCTGTTGTTATTAGGGGGAGAGGATGTCCTGAGGAACTCCACAAACTCAGGGGTTTTTTTTACCACACCACCACCCCAGGCCAAAGAAATCCAAGGCACAAAGGACTGCAAATCCCTAAATGTCATCTCCAGGTGGGGAGCATGCTGGTGCCTGAGGGTGGGGTTGAGCAGCCAGGCTAGGGATAGAACCAGAGACACGTGGGCCTGGGCGGTGCTTGGTTTTTCTCTGGCCTTCAGCGTGCTGTTGGGGTCCCGGCTCAGCAGAACTGGTAGGATGCATCCACCAATTTCTCTTTCTTTCTCCCCAGGTTATTCCTTTCTTTGTTTCCCCCTTTTATAAATAAGTCCTTTATTGACGTTTTTTGTGTATGCCTGCAGCTGAGTCTCATTATAAGCCCCTTTTAAGTGCGCAGGTAAGGACCCACACTCAGGCCACCCCACTTCACACTGGGGTTACCCTGTAACATTGCCACAAGTCTCCATCTGGAGAGAACCTCCAGAGAAGAATAGCAGGGAGAGGCCCTGTTTTCTCACTTAACCAACACTTTTCAGAATAAACAAACATCAATGCCTCATCCCCGCCCCTTTAATTTCTACCTGAATATACAGACCTGAAGGGAAAACTGTAAATTTAGATAGAAATCATGTTCTTTTTTATTGTTGGAATCCTTTGTTCAATCACCTAATAAGATAACCCATGGTGGATATCCATATAAATATTGGCTTTGAGCACCAGTGTGCCAAGAGTCCAGTTGTGAAAAACGAAATTTTCCAGAGTGAAGGACATTTCTGACACAGCTCACACCCATGCCCAAATTCAGATGTTTCTATCTGGTTCCAATTTACTAGTCCAGTGTTTTTTCCTAAAGATGTCTCCCAAATTTACCAGTTTCTCAGTAACAGTTTTTAATTGAGAAAGAAATTTCCCCAATCTCTAGCTGCCGTAGGGGCATATAAATAATATTTAACTAAATTATACCCTGTGTGTATGTACAAGCATAAAAGAGTTTTGCCCAGCGGCTCAAAGTGTTCCCCCAAATTTTTATGACTCGCTGGTGAATCTAACATTTCAAAATGTATTTGAAAGGAAATTTGAAGAGCCTTAATTATATGATTACCTTGCCTGCACAGGAAATCATTTCCTTCTAAATTTGTGCTTTATCTGTTCTGAATTTATGGCAAATCATCCAACATTTGTTCTTTTTTTTTCCTCTGATGTAGGCAATTAACCATGGTAGAGGAAAATGGTTGTAAGTTTTACTACATTGTGCAATATTCAAATAAAACACAAGAGGGCAGGTTTTGCTTTATTGTAAGCCTAATTCCACTCCCACTTGTTAATCAGGATGGTTATTGTACTCATTACCAATTCAGAAACGCTCGATAACACACAAAGTGAATGAGTAATCAGAGTGTGTACTCTGCAGCGATAGCACTAGTATTTCAATAAAGGACTAGCCTCAGCCTTTCTGCATGGCATTATTTACAACACAAAGAACAATTATACTTGGGAGACACTGAGATCCTTTTAGCTTGTGTTTATAAACTGCTAAAGAGTAGAGAATGGCCAGAAGAAAGGACCACACTCAGCCAAAGGACATCCAAGAAATCTGACTTGAGTTGATGGGGTCAGTAACACAAGTAGGTTAAATGGTTTCAGCCAAATAGATACAGTCTTGTTGGAAATACCTAGAAGACACAGGCCTTGAATAGGAACCTTGAGGGGTTTTTTGTTTTGTCTTAGAAGATTTTAAACGTATCCTATAGCTCACAATTTGCTGGTGTGTTCTTTTTAAAAATTTATTAAGCCACCTGCTGAAGCATAATTAAATCCACCCACGGGGATTATTTTCAGTTTGAACTGCCAAGATAGCCAAAATCAGTTTCCTGTCATCTGTAGGGGGCTTCTAAGACAGAGCTGCTTTGATCTTTTGGCTTAAGAAAGGCACTGGCTTGTCTGGCTACAGTTTCCCAGTAACTCCGTCCTCCGAGACCAGGCCTTCAAAACATCAAGGTCTTAGCTTTCTATCCTAGGTCCTATAAGTGGTAGCACTGAGGCCTAAGAAGAAGAGACATTCGAAGAGAGAATGTGGCTGAAAAGGGTCCCCTTGTTTTCAGTTGCAAAGAGAAAACCCTCACCTAGAGTATGGACCACCCCAAATTTGGGATAGGTTATTATTCATTTCATGGCAGAGACAGAAGACCCCACTTTATTATGTTTTATCCAGCCCATGGTAGTAGTAAGTAGATGCCTGAGGTCGTGAGTTTAAAAGTTCTACTTTGAGATTAGTTGATTCATTCACAAAATATTTGTAGAGTGTTCAGGATTTACTAGGCACTGTGAGAACAGAATCCTTAGGTTTCTGTACTGAGGCAGAATTATCTCCCACAGCGAGTTTGAATTAGCTCTTTATGCCAGTTAGCCTGTATTGATTGACCACAGCCATTTTCTGAGGACTCAAAAAGTGCTTTGGTACAGGGCATTGCCATTGTATGGAGAAGTGGATGACCTGACCTCTAGAAGCTTCTAGTCTAGATGAGGAAGTGAACACCCATCACCAATACCTCCCCGGGCCTGACTTCCTTATTCTGGGGGTGTCTAATATGTTGACCAAGCTGGAAGGCTCTCCTGGAGGGTCACCATGTTGGCTGCTGCAAGACCCTTCATGCCTAGTCAGTGACTTGAAGTAGCCGCTTTAACCCAACTTGCCCCTAAGATCAGTTTTTAGACGTTGGGGACAGTAAAAGTCACTGTCTGGAAGAGGGCTGATGCTTCATTTTCATATCTGTATAATAGAAAGCAAAGAAGTAGCCATTGTTTAGATTCTCAAAAGGAACTAGAAACATCAGTGTATTTAAGAACTTCTTTTTAAAAGTGACATAGTTATGTCTATATATGTCTATATTTGTATATATGTGTATATATAGATAGACACCACACATATATTTCAATATATGTATATTGCAATCAAAAAGATGGGAATTAATGTTCACTACAGTCCCCAAGAGATGAACACTAATCTACAAAACATTTCTTTTTTCCTCTTTCATAAATTTTCCATTGGTTAACTTGAGGTTAAAATTACTCACTGGGATTATGATAATTGAGAATGTTACATTCTAAGAAAGATACAAGTGAATGTCAGAGTTTGAAAATTAAAAGAGCATTTGATTTGCAAGGAAAAGCTGTTATAGAATTTCATTTCACTTTTGAATGTTAGCTCTATAAAAGCACTTCTTTTGAAATCATGATTCATCTACAATTTTTTAATATTGTGGATAAAAAGCATAAAAAAGTGATCTATTCATTTTCTTCAAGATACATTTTTTTTCTGCCATTAAGAAGAGGTATAGCCATACAATGCTCAGTGATGTTTTCTGGGTTAATTTACATAATAGTGCAAGTAAATACCAATGTTTTTATTCTACGGGTTTGTTCTACCTCTAGATTTGTTAAAAGGCATTCCTAATTGATTTATTGTAATGTTAGAAAATTTTATTTCTTTTACAAGAACTACAAAATTAAAATTATTTCTCTTAGGACATTATAAAGCATAATATTTATAAAAAGGTACACACATGCTAGATAACAGTAGCTGAGTATAAATGATTACTCTTTATTTCTACTTCAGATAGATCTTGCTTATGAAAATCTTATGAAGATACAAAGTATGAAAATTCTGATGTACCTGACAGGTGAGCTAGAGGCGGCTATTTGCTTTATAGAATTATTCATAATAGTTCATCTATAGAAAGTAATTTCCCCTGGTGCTTTTATCACATAATTGATTTATATACAACTTCTCAAGAACATATCTACCATGCATAATTATGTCTTCATTTTGATATATTTCTCTTTGGGCTTAAAAACAGGATGTAAAAGTAAGTTCTCTACCAACCCTGAATTCAAACCATAAATCTTCCAGAGTGAAGCATGTGAATTAAAAAGTGCTGAATTTCCCATGAATACTGTTAAAGGCAGGAATCGAAATCTATGCATGTGACTGTCTGAAAATGCCCAAGCAGGGCTTGACCCATGATAGAGTTGAGACTTTCCTGACTCATCCCCTGAACCTTCTCTCCGATACACCTGTAGCTTTATGAGACTCACTCAGACTCCAATGCCCTTCAAATGGGTTTTTGTCCCTCTCTCTGGAATTTGCAATCTTATCAAGGGGATACCACTAGTTCTTAGTGAATCCTGCATTCTCCAGGACCCCCAAATGTAGGTGATAGCTCTAGGGCCCTCTTAATACCAACTCTTCACACACATCCATCCCAGGAGAGAAGAACTCAAATGAATAAATAAATCACCTTCTAGAACTGTGGCCTCATTATTGATATACAGGTTTCAGATATGAAAAAATGAACTCTATGTTGAGATCTCAATAACCACCAACTACTCAGAAATAGAGATCATTTTGCTAAGCCTAAACACCTTAGAAAAGAGACTTCATTCTTATTTTTCATGATCTGATGATTGCTTAGTAGAAAATAGCACTTAATTCTGAGTTGTTGTTATGTATGGATGGTTTTCTTTTTAGTGATAAGACAATTGATGAGCATACATAAGTAAATGTCAGTACATCATTAATACATCTAAAATCAACTCTTAAAAATAAGCCAAATGTATTTATGCAGGTTAGCTGTATCAATTAACCATGGCCATTTTCTGAGGACTTAAAAGTGCTTTGGCGTAATGACATTGGAGTTGTAAGGAGAGGTGTACAACCCGACCTCTCGAAGCTTCATCTGAGGCCATCTTGTAAAGGAATTGGTTCAGGATTACTGAAAGGAGACCTAGAAGCAGTGACTCCAGTCAGCTTTTCCTAGAAAGAAGGATTCTCTACTTGCCATAGGTTCAAAGCAGTATATTAATGACCTGGAAAGCTCTGATTTAAGTCTTCATGTATTTATTTATAACTATCGGATCACTGTTAATCCAGCCATTGGATCTTGTAGTAGATCTACTCTTAAGAAGTGTAGACTTTTGATAAATTCTGTAAAATCTCATTTACCAAAGAGAACTAAATTGATCTTTCATTCTCCATCTTATATGGGAAATAAAGTTTATTTTCATCATCAGTGATTTTATTTTTTTTTTTTTTCATCAGTGATTTTAAAGGCTGGGGAGTAAAAGACAGAAAAGAAAATTGAAAAAATGATGAAGAAAGTATCTAAGAGTATAGATGTTTATCTAAAGGGATATCTAAAGGGTTATCTCCAGATATCTAAAGGGATATCTTATCTAAAGGGATATCTCCAGCTAAAAGGGATCCTGGAGACTCAGACTATGCCTACCAGACCCAGCTCACCCCATTCACATAAAGCCCCTAAGGCCAAGAAGGATACAACCAACATCTTGATGTGGTGTCAAATTACATTGACCTGAAAATTAAACTGAATCTACTCTATCATTTGTGTGTGTGTGTGTGTGTTGCTTTCAGAACATGAGAGGACTTGATCAATATGGAAATTATTACCAGATACCACAGATGATCAGTTCTACCTTTGTTTGATGGTAGAGATAGCCTCAAGCATTTCAGCTGCAGTTAAATTGAAACTACAGCTAAGCATCTTCTGCATCTAGGGTCATCACCACAGTAGGAGGAGCTGTGCCAAAGTCTTTCAATTAAGGGAAGAACAAGTTTGTTCATTGTCGGGGTCAGCACCAGAGTTCAGCCAGTCTTTTCTTGAGGGTAAGGCTTAAGCATCCTAGGCTTCTTCTGTGTATCTCTTGTGTGGTTGTGTCTCCATGAGAGGTGTATATCCTTTTCGAAGTCTTCTATACTGCAGGAAAACCAGCAACACAAAAAGACCAACCAAAGCCACCAGCACTCCCAGAACCACAGAGAGAGTTGTTGTCCAACTGGAAGTTTCTTCAACTGAAACTAAAGCAGAAGAGTTTATGTTAGGGGTTTCCATTAGTTGAAATCTCTCAGGATAAGAAAGAATAACCAATTTGCCTTTCACATGCATTTTTGTTGATCAAGCAAAACTACACATGCTGGAATAAAATTTATCTTCTTCCCCACCAACAATTTATCATATCCACAATTGTTTTCTTGAGGCATCCACTAAAAAATGCCATTCCATTATTTAAACACAGTTTATTGCATTAAAAAATTCTCACAAATGCTTATATAGAATAAACCCTTCAAGGAAGTATATAACTACTTTTGTGAGTTAGAAACTCATTTGTAAAAGTGCATGCTAAAGTGGTATGTAGGGAACTGCAAGAAATACAACCCTTAGGTGGAGAAATTCTATTATTGCCTCCGCCTTTTTTCACAGGATGATAAATGTGTAAAACATCAGACTGGCTCTTAACATAGGGGACATTCCTTGGAAGGAACAGATGAAATTTATACTCATTGAAATAGTTGTGAGTAAAATCAGAATCTTCCGCATGATATATCCAATCCTGTACTCAGATATATTTAATAAGCACTCTTCCATAAATAATGAATTTTATTTTTAGACATTTATGCCAATTAGTCATTTAGAAAAAAAATTCTTATTCCAACAGCTGTTTCTAAATTCAGTTTCTCTGAACTGGGTTCTTGTTCCACACCCCACATCTATCTAAGATTCTTTTTCTAGTTTCTATTCCTCTGCTCTCACAGAGAGCTCTGGCCCATCCCAAAGGGATTCCTCAAGACACATCATTTTCCCCTGCCTGCTATAATCCAGCAGCATTTGTTGCCAGTCTTGTCTTCTTAAAACAAATATTTTTATTCTGCCATTTTTGTTCAACAGCAAAATAATATTATTTTTTAAATTCTGTTAAAGCATACATAACACATATAGTATCACCTTAACCATTTATAATTCTGCAGTTTTGTGGCATTAAGTCCTTCCGGTCCTTGTGCCGTCTTTCCCACCATATATCCACGGAACTTTTTCCTTGCAAAACTGAAACAGGGACTCCCTGTTCCCATACTCCCCAGTCTCTATAAATCTGACTACTCTGGGTACCTCATAAAAGTGTAATCGTACAGCTTTTGTCCTTTTGTCACTGGCTTATTTCACTTAGCATAATGTCTTCTAGATTCATCCATTTTTGTAGGAGTAAAAAAGGATTTACAACCTTTGTAAGGCTGAATAATATCCCACTCTGCACACTTCCCACTCTGTCTCTCCATTTGTCTGCCGATGGACATGTGGATTGCTTCTACCTTTGTCTATTGTAAATGACATTGTTATGAACAGAGACACACAAATATCTATTTGAGCTCTTGCTTTCAATTCTTTGGGCCACATATCCAGAAAATGAGTTGCTGAGTCCTCTGGTAATTCTATGTTTTATTTTTTGAGGAACTGACCTACCATTTTCCAGTGTCTGAGCCTTTTTACACTCCCACCAGTGAGGAATATTTCTATTCCAGTTTCTCCAATCCTCGTCAACACTGGTTATTTCCTTTCATTTTTTGTTGTTGCTGTTGTTGCTGGAGGAGGAGTAGTCACCCTCCTGGGTCTAAAGTAGTATCTCATTGTGGTTTCTGCCTAGCCTTTAAGGCTCTCAGTAATCAGGCTCATCTGCAGATCCAACCTTAACTCATGACCTTCTCCCCAACGCCTTCCCTTGCGCCAGGATTTCTTCTCATATCCTCTACTGTTTAAAGTCACATATCATTTTTAATTTTTGCACAAATGAAAAATGATGTAAAAATACATAAAATAAAATAAAATTTAAATTTTTTTAAAGATCCTATAAAGTATTAATACAATGGAAAAAAAATAGTCACATAGAGCTTCCAGTTATGGTTTCTGCAATTTTCAATCGAAAATTCTCCTTTCTCTCTCTCTCACCCACCTAAGATCTATCCATCTCTTTGAACCTAGATCAGGACCCACCTTTTTCAGGAAGCCTTTCCCAAATCCCTCATTCCCTTCTCCAACCTTCCATTATAGTGATGTCTCCTCAGGCATTATTGTAAATTTCTTTTTCTCAAACCAATAAATGAAGGTGAATTTGTATTTCCTAGTGAGTTAATGCATGATGGGCATATTTAGTTCCTCAGCCTACCTGTTAAATAACTAATGATGTCATGAGCAGAGATGATGAATGCATGTCAACATGCACATACCAATCTTTCTGAAAATTATTCTGTTCAGTCCCAGAGGAAGGAGGAAGAAGTTTCAAAGAGCTTCAGCTGCCCAGAGAGAGGAAATAGCTGGAGCAGATGTAGAAAAAGAAGGTAAAGTTGGGTACAAATTCCAGACCTGAAAGACTCAGAAGTCAGAGAGAGATGCAAACTCAGAAATCATCCTGCTTATGTAGTGAGGTGATATTTATGGAAGACAAAAATAGATACACATGGGGGAAGCCACCAACAAATATTAGATGCGTATTTTTCAGCTTTTTAAAATTTACCCTTTTCTTAACCTGTCCTAAGATTCTTTAAATGGCTGGTAAAGCTACATTTAAGAGCTGGGCAAATTAAAAATGTATGCCTTTATATATTCTTTAAAAATATTCTCCCATATTTTAAACAAAAAAAAAATAAAATTTGCATGACTTAAAAAACATTAATTAAAAAAAACATACACAGGAAACCCCATTTAGCCCACTCTGTTGGCAGGCCAATGTTAACCTCATAAACCCACCTGGCAGAGGCGATGTGGCTAATTGGGAAAAAATGGGTGTAGTTACAAGATAAAGCAGGTGTGTAGAAAAAACAAACAACAGCAGGCCTTGATTTAAAGTTTGATAGTCATCATGGATTTTTTTTGCATTAACTTTTTTTTTTTGCATTATATTATTACTTATCTCGATTACTGAAATTTTTTACCTCCCCTTGAACTTTGTGCTCAAGGCAAGTGCTGTGCTTGCCTCCCCTTAAAGTCAGCCTTGACTTGAAGCAATGATCGCTGGGTCCTGCAGTGTCCATCCACCTGTGGCCAGTACTTCTTGACATGGTTGGCACCGATATTTCAAACCACAGCCAGCATTTGATTAATTCCAATAGAATTGTCAAAGCAAGTGTAACAACAGATAACTGCTCTGTTGAACAGTCAGTTTCTAAAACAGTCATCCAACCAGCCTTTCCCTGATGTTTAATTGGTAGCACACAGGCTGATTATGCTAAATCTATATATTCTAGAAAATTGCCTATAAACTTCGAAACCTGAAGACTTCGATTTAAGATCTTAGTTTACCTTTAAAAAAAAAAAAAAAAAAAAAAGCTGCTTTAGAAGATGGATGAATCACCCACTTAGAAGTTGCATTAGTTACCTGGCAAATCAATGGCATAGCTATAGCCAAGTTGGTCTGCGGTTAAAAAGAGTTCCTCATTAGTTACCGGAGGGAAAAAGGGAACCATGTTATACATCCGATTGTGACCGATGGGTGCCAGTTCCTGTGGCCAGGCCTCCACAGACGGGTTAAATCTTTTCATCCACTCGTCAAAAATGGCATCGGTGAAGGAGTGTAGTACCTGCAAGACAGTTGAACATGGCAATTAACCTTGATGGGGCTGCTCCAATCAGACCAATTGTGGAGCTTTCTAGAACACAGAATGGAGCTCCTCTTGACACAAGGAACCTCTGTTTCCTGACCTACCCTTAGTGATACACTCCCTGGTATTTTTTATTAAGTTTTCAAGGCTCTCTGACATGTCTCTCCAAACAGGGTTATAAATCCCTTTGTCAAGTGAACCCATCGAAGTTCACTTTGTAGGTTTAATATTGATTTGGGAAATTTTGAGGTCTTCAACAAATGTGTGTCTTGTTATTAAGTACTAAGAAAAATGGCAAGTGTGAGACACAGTCTAGACAATATTCAGATGCTTTGATTTTAACAGAGAAGAAAGACATCTTTTGAATATAGTAATACAAATGGACAGTAAAGAAGAAAGTACCCAAAATGGCTTTTCAAATTTTCCTCGCCAGGGCCACCTTCTGGGTGGGTGCTCAATCATAGCCTTCACATTTGAATTCCTGTCATGGCAGCAAGAGTCAGTCTAAAAATGGTGTCATGTGCTATGATCATTTTTATTTTCTCAAGAAAGCTATTAAAATCCTTTTGAATATAGTGATTATTACATGTGTAAAAATATTAAGAGTAGGCCTCCTTGGTGGCACAAGGGGTTAAGCACCAAACTATGAAGCAATCCACAGCCTCTGCAGCACGAGTTCAATTCCCAGCCAGGCAGGGAGAAACCCACTTGGCGCAGCAGACCTCTCCTGTCTCACCCATTGCTCCCCTCAGCAGTGTATTTCAGTCAGTCTGCCTGTTCTGCTCCCCTCTCTGTCTCTGGTGAATCCTCTCACCCCTCCCCCCACCCCTCACATCTCTGGCCTGTACCCCAGCTCTTGTATGTATAAATAAGTAAATCTTTTTAAAAAATATTAAGAGTAAAGGGTCCATGTGTACAGTCCCAATTTCTCAATAGGACAGACAGGAGTACAGATCAGGCCCACACCAGGCTGTAAGAGGACCTCATTCATTGCCAAACCATAAGTTCAGGAAGCTCAGGGACAATGTCTGCTTTTCTATCCCCTCAGTGTCCCCAGTGCCTGTCACCCCAGGGCCTGTCATTTGGGTACCGGGGAGGTATTTATTTCTATAAATACAGTTCAAAGAATTCATTGACCTATTCACTATTTTACCTTGTACCTCAATTATAGCCCTGGTCAAGTTACACTGTAACTTGTTACTTATTTGTTTATCTATTTCCCCTAAAAAGACCCCTAACTCCTAAAAGCCAAAGGTCTTTTCAGCTTTGAAGTCATAGGCATGTCTTGCACATAGGACAGAGTTGTCCATACCCTGCAAATATTTGTTAGCGGTAGCGCCAGGCAAAGTGGTTTTAGTTTTTTTCCAATTCAACCAAATAGGCCCCTTTCTGGTTTCCTCAGTGTGTGATGTTATTCCGGCTGTTTTCTAGCATCAAAGTTGTTCAAGGATGAACTTGATGGTCCCTGTCTGGAGACATCTTCCCTGGTCGACCCTAGTCTGAATTCTTTGCTCTCTGAACTTCTTAACCCCTTTAGTTGAGTTACCTTCCTGGCTTGCACTTCGGTTACTTATTTACTAGAGAGTATTTTTTAATCTTACCTGAGGTTCCTATAGTTAGTTGCCCCTATTCAGGCAACAGGGAGAACTTTCTACTTGTCCTATCTCATGAGACCTCATTGGGGATAGTTAAAAGAAATGAAGTGCTTTACTGAACAAGTTTCTCCCCTGCCCCTTCCCAGGAAGATTTTTATTTTTATTTATTTTTAAATAAATAAATAAATAAAAATAAGCACGGGAGGGTGAGAGAATTCACCATAGCCAGAGTGGGGAACAGAACAGGCAGGCAGATGAAATACACTGCTGAGGGGAGCAGCGGGCGGCAGGAGAGGTCTGTCACGCGATGTGGGACCCTCACCCGGTGGCTGGGGATGGAACCGCGCTGCAGAGGATGCGGGCAGTTTCGCAGCCCAGCGCTCAACTGCTGCGCCACCAGGGGAGGCCCCCTCCAGGAAGATTTTTTAAGTTTTCTGCAGAGATAATCAAGTTAAAAACCAGAACTAGGAGACTTAGGCTTTCAGAGAGAAAAGATTTTTCAATTCTAAAATCTTGAACTTGAGCAACAAAATTCAAGCGGCAAAGGAATAAAGGCAAGGAGTTTACTACATAAGTAGCAACTTTGGAATAACACATGATAATGTAAATGGCCAATGTTTTCCACAAGTAGAGCTCAGGGAAAAGTCATCTCTGGGAAGGGACAGCAGTCCGGGAAAAGGAGCGAATTAGCATGAGTTACTGGGGTGGGTCCTTGAGGAAGACACTCCATGCTCTGAATCGTGGGAATGCCACATAAGGTTAGAAAGTTCCAGAAATGTATGTGCTTCATTCCTCTAAGTGTAGCCTGGGGATCCTGCCAGCCTCAAGGGAAGTTTTGCCTCAGGCTTGCAGTCCAAGCAATAGAGATAGTAAGTCTAAGGGCAGAAATCCCTGTCAGCTGCTTACCCAATATCCCTTCTCCTCTTCTTCAGTGTTTTCCTTTGTACTTTGGGGAATGCACTGTGCCAAGCTATCCATGAGATTTAACAGGAACTCATAGGATGGCACTTCTAGGGAAGTTCTTTAAAGGTGGTGGTGTCAGCTGAAAAGTGTCCTTTTTCCCTTTCCATTTCTCCTTGTTGCTTCCTGGAACATGAATGTGATGGCTGGTGTTGCAGCAGCTATTTTATCCATCAATAAGTTAAGAAAAGAAACCACTCCACCAAGGAGGGCAGAGCAAACAGACAGACAGTGTCTGTGATGACTCTGGAGATGCTATACCAGTTCTGGACTGCCTGCCACCAGAGCTCCTTTATATAATGAGGAAAATAACCCTTTTTTTGTTTAGGCTTCTGTAACTTGGATATTCTGCTTTAAGCAACTGAGGCAATCTTAAATGATACCCAGAAAAAGTATCTAGGGGGATACCAGAAAGTATTTTCCAAAGAAGGCCGTGTAGTAGCTCACAAATTTTTAGATACTGTCTGAGTTTAAGTTGGAGATCAAATTCTGATTAGAAAAAGAGGCAAGACATTCGGGACCTGGAAATACCCATATTCAGAGCTGCAAGAGTCAAATGACTTTTGAAAAGCACCAGGGCAAAGTGTAAATAATTAAGTAGGATACAAGACCCTAAAGCAATTTATAATTTGGAAAGATAAAAGAATGAGGAAAAATAATGAGGAGAAATTATAGGTCTCAGAGGACTGTAAAACACTATACAATAAATACTCTAATAGGAATATACACAGACTACCCAGTTTATAGAATGTAGTAAAAAATAAATAAAAAGGCTAGGGTGTGCCAAGAAGATGCAAAGAATGTAATAAACAAAATGCTGTGAGAAATAGTGTAACCACAGGCTAGAGAGGTAAGGCAGCCTATTGAAGAGGTATTTTGTTCAAATTGTGAGCATTGTTCTGTAATGCTGTCAACTCGTGTTGGGGAACTAATGGTATCCTCATTAGACACAGTTAAAAAGAATTTGCTTAATATCTCTGTAAAGGCGAATGTTATTTGAGGGGGATAAATTAAAGCAAAAGTAAAGCCAGTACACTCTGCTATAGATAGATGCAGCTTTATTTTGGTATCAAATGTGGAATGCTCCAGAAATTAGGTTGCAAATTTTGGTGTATAAACCTGTTCTACCTCTACTTCAACAAAGTAAGTGTAGGATAAGGAAGGGGGTAAATGCACTAAATTTCAAATTGGAGACTCCCACCTAGGAGTAAGTGACTATATATCTGTTATTATATGTGTTTGTGTGTGTATAATATTACATATATATAAAACAAGTAAATGTATTTTAAAGACACAAAGGCTACACATTATAAAACCAATGCTTTAGCATTTCAAAAGCCAACCAAAATTATGCAGACCTGCCCTTCACCAATTAGTGTAAGTTCCTAGTAACATGATCCAACAGGAATCCATTTTCTCAGCTATAATAAAAGCAATTGTAAAGAGAGCAAATTAAGAATTGTCTAAACTGATGCAAAGCAAAACTGTAGCTAGAAGATGACATGGGGAAACTTTTTGAGTAGGAGATTTTTCTTCTAATCTCAGCTCGAGCACTTACCGATTCGTATGACCTTGTATACATTTCTTAGCCTCTTTGAACTTCATTTTTCCCTATTTAAAACGAGGAGGGCTGTTACCATACACAGTTTTGTGACGTTAAAAGGTTTGCATGAAGTTAAAAAGTTTATATGACAAGTTAAAAGGTTAAGTTGTGTGTACAATGGGTTTGTACACCAAAATTTGTAAACTAATTTCTGGAGCATTCCATTTTTGATACCAAAGTAAAGCTGTAAAGTATAGTCATGAGCATATTAATGCAGTGTAACTTTCTCCTAACAAAAACTCATTGGGCATCTACTAAGTGCCAGGCTGTATATGGTGTTGATGACCATGTACGCGACTTGTATTCATAGAAAACTCAATTTTCTATGACCAGCATATCAGGTTTGCAATAAGAGTATAGTATCATGAGATGTTTTTGTCACTGACATACGTAGGGAACAGACCACTTTTCCAGATTCTCTTATGAACTTTTAGATTTTCTAAGTCATTGTCCTACATGAACAGATAGATCACAGAAAAGGAAAAGTAAATGGTTTTTTTTAATGTATGACACATGTATTAATGAGAGAGTAGGGGAATTGTCACTCTGCTCCACAGCTGGCGAGAGGAAAAGCCATTCAACCTTCTGGAACACAATATGGCACTATGGATCACAACTTCAGATACTTCCATTTGACCTTTGACCCAGTGATTCTATTCTCTTGGCTCACCCTGCATATTTATTCACTGCAGCATTGTTTGTAAAGCAAAAGATCAGAAACCACCTTAAGGTTCACAGCAGGAGACTGGTTAAAAATTTTATAGTATAGAATACCATACAACCTTAAGAAGAAGAATGCAAAAGTCCTTTATGAACTGATA